CAGTGTGGCCTCATCAGTGGCAACATCAGAAGGACAAAAACAGTTTTCTCCCAAATGTTCAGATTATGATTTAAAATTTTGATGGAATTCTTTCAAAAACCATTTAAAATTATTGCTCAGGTTTTTTAGCAGTAGCCTGCTTTAGAAATGTTAAAGCAGAGAAGTCAAACTATTTATCATGCAGCCTGCACTGGATCCAGGCCACCTTCCCTAGAAGTTGTTATAGTATAGACATAGTAAAGATAAAGTGGAATGGTAGTTAAAATCACAAAAAGCAAATGCAATGTTCCTTTTCTCCTAACATACAGAGTGCTGGTTGTGCTAAAAAATAAGTACAGAAATAAAAAATGAGACTAAGACATTGAAACTGATCTCTTGATTTAACCACAGGACCGCAAGGATACCTAAGCCAAGGAAAACCAAGTTATTTTGCTGATGTCAATGTATTTCAGCAGTATGCCCCAATGGTACAACTTTTCAAAATCAATGATGATTAGTTTTGGTACTGTGGTGCAAAGCCTGGTTTCAGCTCTAATCTCAATCGTGCGTGTCCCTAGGGTGCTCTGTGGAGGTGTGTTAAATTTGCAATTTTGCCTCTAGTTAGAGAAATCCTTGCACATGCTAAAGGTCTGCAGAGTGTCCCAGGAAGTTTGCTGGCAACATGTTTTATTAAGCCTTATATTTTGTAAATGTATTTCACTTAATCATGTCAAAACCAAGACCTTAGTTGAAACTATTCATTGGGTAATGAAGATAATTATTTCTTGTAACAATTTGTAAATCCCTGTTAAGCCAGAGGGAGTCATCTCCGGGTTTGCATCACCAGGCACTGCCCTTGTTCTAGGACGCTGCCATAGTTTGGCTGGGGATCTCTCTGCTTGCCCGCAGATCCACCGGCCAAAGCAAGTACAGGCAGCCGGTCACAGACATAAGTGGTTGCACATCAAGACTGCTCATCTCTTCTCCCAGCTGCGAAGTGGAAGAAAATTAAATCTGTAGAAATTCCCAGGAGAGGCAAATGCTGCCAAAGTACTTCAGGAGAGCGCCCTCTTCTTTGGATTCAGCGTTCAGGTGGGGCCACAAGAACTCTGGGACTTGACAACGACCTAGAAAGCCCATTGGGGGTCACTTCTGGAGCCCTGCGTGCCCTTTCCCCCGCAGCCTGGGTCCAGAGAGGCGGCGGGGATGCCAGCTCCGTCTCCACCGGGGAGCGGGCGCGCCCAGGTGCGCCGGGCCGCGCCCGGGCGGGCGGAGCCGCCGGCGGGAGGCCGCGGAGCCTCGCAGCCATGGGGCCCGGAGAGGCGCTGCCCGCCAGCCCGTCCTGCCGTGCGGGTCAGTGCGTGCGGGCCGGGGCACCGCGGGGGCGGGGGGCTCGGCCTGCGGAGGGGTCGGGGGGCTCGGCCTGCGGAGGGGTCGGGGGGCTCGGGACGCGGCCGTGCGCTCCTGTAGACCCCGGTGTCCGGAGCCCCACGTAAGACTTTCCTCCGCCCTGGCGTCGCCCAGTTGTTTCCCGAGGAGCGGCGTGTGTCTGGCGCTGGGGAGGCTCCTGCGCTTCTCCCGCGGCTGCCTCGGGTTAAACATCTTTTCAGCTTTGTTTTGTGCTTTTTGCTGCGTCTCCCCTCTAGGTGTGCAAGGGAAGAATTCCTTGCAGCTTCTCGGTACACCCACTCTTGGCCTCAGGAGCTGCACCTTGGCAAAGGTGGGCTTGGTATTTCCTGGGTGACCGAGAAAGACGTTTCATGTTTTTGCCAGGAGAGAGCTGAGTCGTGAGCCCATTAGAGATGGTTAAATTATTGTCTAATCAAAGCAATTCGTTTTCGAGATGACTTAGGACCGATATCTTCAGTGGCAGGTTAAGAACCAAGTTGGCTGTCACTAACCAGGGCAAGTCAGCCCTGGACTGCAGAATGACAGCAAGTTAGACGTGTCACAAGCAGTGCATAGCACCGGGGTGGCTGGTCTACCCAGTTCAGAAAGAGAATATACAGGTGTTTGAGCTTAAAAAAAGGGGGGAAAAATAGATGAATCATTTAAAAAGTTTAGAAGTTACACCAGCAGCTACCTTGGCTCAGACTGGTTTCCTGTTGCTGCCAGCCTTGAGTCAGAGCTGGGAGAGACTATTTCTGCAAGGAGGAGTTCTGCTGACAGGTTCATGTTTGTTGACATTTGGAAGTAGGAGGTGAAACTTGCTTAGCTACAGAAACTCTGTGCTGGGCAAGGCCAGGCAGCCTCAGTGGTTTGCCATCTTCCTCAGCATTTCCAAGTGACCCTCAGACTGTTCACAGGGGCAATAAAATAACAGTAATTCCCAGGTCAAGCCTCCTCTTCCCATCTCTCAGGTGGTTCTTTGATCAGTGCAGTTACATGCCACTTTTCATGCAAGTGGAACAAATGATGTTTTTTTTCTTTAACTATGAGAAGCTGCTCAGCACAATAAACAGAGATCATAAACATTCAAAATTACTCAGTGACAAATCCAATGTTTCTTTGTGAATATGGGCGAAGATTGTAATTCAGAAAAGAAAGAAACAACCTGTGGCAGTCACTGGGTGACTTAGTGCAAATGGCATGATTAAATTTTCCTTATTTTATGTCATAATTTATGCTGAGGAATGAAAAACTTTAGAACACAGAAAAAGTAGCATTAGTGTCATGTTAAATGAAATAAGCCTGCCATTCAACTCCAGCTAAATGCCAGTACACCAGTCACCAAAGAGGGAGAAGAAAATTGTTATTTTTCTTCACTGTAGAAACCCAATGCACTGATAGAAAGCTGCCTTTACTGCTGCAGGGAGCTGAAGAGCTGTACTTATCAGGAGTGCTTATCTTCATGTTTTCTTTTAATTAAAGGCAAGGAATGTTACTGCTTCTCACACCATCCTGGTTTGGCATCAGCATAGGTACTGGGAGCTAAGGGATTTCATTCATCTCTCCATTGGTTGGTTTTTTTTTCACAGAATAATAGAATACTTTGGATTGGAAGGGACATTTGAAAGCTATTTAAACCAATCCCCGTGCCATGAGCAGGGGCATTTTTATCTTGCCCTGGTATGTGTTTACTAAGAGAAAATACATTTGTGCTTAAAGGACTTTCTGTAATTTGGTCTTGTGATTTATTCTTCACTAATTATGTCAAAACAAGTATATGCAATTTTTTCTTCTTCTAAGACTATACTTAGACTATTACTAATAGTAATGATAAGAGTGTAGAATAGTATCTATCCTACATACTATGCAATAGTAACTGCATTTTGATCTAAGTTCTCTAAGATTTTAATCTTCAGCTGTGGAATATGAACATACCTATCTTGTGAGAACATTTTTATTGAGTCTGACTTAGCAACACAAAACAAGTCCTGTTATATGGAAACACTCTTGGCAAACAAGGAAATGCGTTTGCACAGCCTTCAAATAAAATTATAACTTCCTGTACTATGTTTGTTGAATAATACGAAATGAAAAAACAGGGAGCAGGTACTCACTCTAGTTCCTTACTTGTAAAGGGTACTGTCTCCCAGAGCATTGGCAACTGCAAATATTATGTTTTTAAGACCTTATGTATTTTAACTCTTTGTATTTAATTCTTTGTTAAATTTTATTAAATTAGTTATCCAAGTCTGCTTCTTATTAATTGTTCAGTGAAGTACTTTTGATTTAACATTTTTATTTCCAGAGCTTACGTGTGAACACAGAGGCACATCCTTTTTCACCAAGTCTACAAGTGGCATTTCTGTTGGGAAAGGGGAGAAGAAAAAAAAAAAAGAAAAAAAGGGAGTGTATTATTGATGCTGCCACTCTTCAGGATGAATCATTCATGTGTTATTTTAATTGCGGGGAAAACATGGAAAACAAAACTATTTGTTGCATCCCCTGCTTCCTATGTATCACAGTGGACTGAGCTTTTGTACTTCTGCAAATTGTTTCATATTTTAACATGTCTTCATCATAAGCCTTCTTTTCAAAATAGTGTTGTTCTTAAAAGTTTTCCAGTCTAGATTCTGTAATCCACACTGGTTGCCTGATGCACTGCACAAACTGAGATGTCAACCTAGACTGCCTAAGCCCTTTTGCAGCTTTGCTGCCTGACCCCTGCTTCCCCATGCAAAAAAGCAACTCCTTTTGTTCTTGGAAATGCAGTACCTGTTCTTCCTTTAGAAACAAATCTAGGCTGATAACAGTGATGTCATTCCCACAGACGGTCACCACCGTGATACTGATAAACCTTGGCTGGCTGAGTGGGAAGCTTTGGTCTCTGCTCGGGATCATCCAGCTCTCCAGCAGTGTTGCAGGGATGGCTGGGGGGAACTGTCCCCTGTGGCCTGTGATCTACCTCCACCCAGAGCTTGTTGAAGTTAGATTAAATTTGCTGTGAGGTCTAATGAGAACTTCACCTTAAAATTTTGTGACTGGCTAAGTAAGACGTGGCTCACACAGTATTCACTGAACAGTTTTCATAAAATGTCTTAGTGCACATATGCAGTGAGAGTTTGCTCCCTGTTTGATTTTCCTTCCTTTTTTTCCATTTGTTTCTCCAATCTCAGCTACCAATGTAAAAAAAAAAGCCTTGAATAGCAGCAGGCTTACTTTAACAGACAAAGTCCAAAATCATGGATTCAGCTATATGTCTGTGGTCTCTGCATAACAAAAAGGAGCCCTTTCATCTTGAGTCTTGAGGTTTCAGGTTAGCTTTTAAGATTTTTTTTTTTTTTTAGTTGAATTTTAAACTGAAGCTAATATTTTTTGGTTCATTCCTTGGTATTTCCCTTAGTGCTTATCTGAGCCAATGAAGTGCAAAATACAGATGTAAAATAATGTAATCACCTATGAACTACAGCAGTGGGTAATGACCCAGGCCAGCATTGTGTACATTGTGTGGGTTTTGTGTGCTATATGCACAGTCATAAATTACAGGTGCTCTGCAAAGACATGAAAAGGAGTGAGCAGAGTGAGGACAGGGCTCTTCCAGAGCTGGATCTGTGTTGTGAATCATTTAAATCCTTCTTTTTCTGTTCCCAGGTGCTGTGCTCTCTTTTTCTTGCCGTGACTCCTGCCAGGCATGGTGCCAGATCATCAACGTGTCTGAGTCACGCTCTCCTCTCCTCACCTCTATGGAGGGGATGGGCAATGAAACAAACTGGAGCATTTCCATGCCTTCTGGAAGCAAATACCACCTCTACATTGGCTTGACTTTGGCTATAGGCTCCAGTATCTTTATTGGTTCTAGTTTCATAATGAAGAAGAAAGGACTTTTGAAACTGGCAGACAGAGGAGTCACCCGAGCTGGTAAGTGATGGTGACATCCTTGCTCCTGCTGGGGACACAAACACCTCTTATAACTTGACAAAATCAAGGTTCGAGTCACAGATCACAAGTTTAAAACTATTTTAATGGTGATCAGAAGTCCTATCTTGGTGAGGGATGGAGACATGGTATTATTTCCCTGTGTGTGATTACAGGGACTGGGATTTTAGAACTTATAGGACTATGGGAGATGCAGAGGATATTAAATCTAGTGAGCTGGTGCTATTTCCTCACTGAGAGCAATTAGCTACCCAAATAAAATTCTCCATTTTTCTTACCCTTCAAAATGTCCTTCTCCCCCTTTTTTCAATCTTTTTCCCCCTCATTTGAGATGGAAAGTCTTAAGCTGGTAACTAGGTTTAGCTTTTTGGTTTTGCTCTGCTTTTTAAAGTGAGTGCAATGAGTTGTAGAAATTATGTTTATTACACAAGTTTCTTCAGTTAGTACAACTATCCCTTCATCGAAGTCAACAGATGAACAGCTAGAAAGAGAACAGTTGCACTGTCATAATTTCCTTTGCATGGATTTAAATACATAGCATTAGCAGTTTTTCTTTTGTTTGTTGTGTTTATTGCAAAATATTATTCCAGAGAATTTGGTTATTTGAAAAACTCTGATATTGAATATTATATATACTTATGTTTTATGTAAAAAAAAAAAAAAAAATCATGTGCACAGGGGCATTTTTCTTCTTAATTTCTTTCAATCTAAAGTAAAAGGAGAGTCAAACTGCTGTTGACTGTATGAATATATTGGATCTGTCCTGGAAGTGCATTTTGAAACATTTCTTAAGCTCACCAATAATTTTTATAAGCATTTTACTTTTGCTTGGAACTTCCTCTCTGTGTATATTTAGTCAAATAGCATTTTTTAGAAGTCTAAGCGACAAAGCAGTAGAGTGGTTAATAAAATGTTAGTCAAAATCAAATATTCTTCATCTTGCATCCAGGTAACATGCTCTTTTGGTACTTTGTAAGTGCAAATGTGAAGCTGTACTTTTTGTTTCTTACAATAAGGTGATCTGTTTCTTCTAAGATAAGGTTATTTTCCTCTTTCAGGACAAGGTGGATATTCTTATTTGAAGGAATGGCTTTGGTGGGCTGGACTGCTATCAAGTAAGTCAGCTCTTTCCTCTCAGCCTATATGTAAATCTACAAAAAGCAGATTGTTTTAAAGAGATTTATTGTGTGATTTTTCATTCCCTTCACTTAAAAGAAATGTCCTTGGAACCACATTCATGACAAGCTGTTCTCATATGCCATCTTTCAAATACTACATTTGGTCTTCAGAGCTCTTTGCAGAATAACCATCTTTAATATCTGATCAAATGCCATGGGATTGCATCTGTCCAGCTTCTAGGAGTACTTAGGAGAAGAGTATTTAGCTTTCTTCAGCATTTATTTCTTCCAGAAGAGGTTATGCAGCTAATTTTGAAATGAAAATGTGCATATTTAGTGCAGAAAAAAGATTTTGGTTTGTATTTGCTATCATAGTTGTCATACAAAATATTTACAATAGTGTGTCTTTTAATATCCCCCTCCAAGCTGATCCAAATATTATTTCTTCTGCATTCTTTCTTCTTGCAGTGGGATTAGGAGAAGCTGCAAACTTTGCTGCCTATGCCTTTGCACCTGCAACCTTAGTTACCCCCTTGGGTGCACTGAGTGTTCTCATAAGGTCAGTACCAATTGGGAGCAAGCCTTGGCAAATGTACTGTTCACTACATGAGGGAAAAAAGTACTGTCTTTGGCTGAAAGTAGAGATTTTTAATAAGAAAGCTGAAAATCAATTCATGGGCAAAAATTGCTTTTTGTTGCTTGGTGGAAAGATATTTTTCCTTATTTAGAACTGAGTTCACTGGGTAGATAGAATCAAAAATCTTGTTGCAAAGGCCACTGAATGCCTTCCCAGTAGCTTTCCACATAGATCACAAAGTAATTCTTATCAGCATAAACAAGGCATACTGCTGATAGAAGATAATTCCTCTATTCCTAGAGAACTGGAGCTTTTAAAAAACTTTTATCCTGTTATTTGGCTGTGACTAAACTTTAAATAAAAATACAGCATTCCTTCACAGAATGTTTTCAAAAACATTTATATTTATAGGAGCATAATTTCATATTAAGGCACAGTTAGTAAACCTTTTGGTTTTGTTTTGTCTTTTTTGAAATCTTTCTGGAAAGAAGCAAAGAAAATCTAACCTTTCTTCTGTATCCTCAATTTAAATTTGTGGTTGTTTTGAAACATAAATATCCTTCACAGACTTAATGTTTCCTATGTATAAAGAAAAAAGTTATTTCCAAGTTCTTAAGTACATAGAGTAATGTGGCTATCATAGGAGCAGAAAAGACATGGACTGTGCATACAAACATTTTATAGGAAATAATATTTTAGCAAAATGAAATTATAGTATTTTAAATGTAAAACTCTGATTTTTAAGAACTGAGTATATTATATGAAACACTGTGTTTAAAACAACATGCACCACATATTAAAAACAAAACAAAAAAATAAGTGAACAAAAAAACCTCAACCCACCAAACAAAAAGCCCCCTAGGAAGCTTGCAATAATCTACCTGCTCAAACTGCAGCTGTTCTGTCATAGCAAAACAGATGTAACTGAGTCTCTGCAGTGGTGCTGGGGTCAGCGTGTGGTAGATGCAGATTAACTGGCTGCCTGGCTGCTGCTGTGCAAAAACAGCTTTAGTTGTATTGCCCTCTTCTTTGATGGGGACAGCAATCATTCAAATTTTCATGAGACAGAGAGGTTGTTAGAACTTCATGTCAGTGAACTCATTACCCTTGTGTGAAAAAAGTCTGTATTTTGATCAGTGGGTTGAATAATTATTTGTGTGTTCACACACCATTAAGCCTGTGTCTGTGCCCAAGGTTGTTCTCCAACAGGCTAATTATGCCCAGCAAGTGGTGTTATTTAGGCCATGTTATTGTCCTTCAGTTAAATAATCAACCCTTTGGAGGTCCTGGGGTTGATCTCTTTGGATGGGGAGGCATGCCTTCTCTGTGTTTTGGGGGCTTTCTTGGCAAGCCAGGTAGGAAGTGTGCCTGGGTGGGAGAGCCTGGGGAGGGATGAGGAACAGTTTACACAACTCATGTGCATTGGTTGTAATGGCAGATGAAGTGCTTCAAACCATTTTTGGAAGAAAGAAACAGCTCTTGCAGTTAATCTACAGTGAGAGTGCATACCCTGACCCAGGCAATCAGGAAGGAGAAGCTCTGTAGCAATTTGGACCCTTTTACAACCTGGAGGGAAGCAATGAAGGTTGCTAAACTCCCTAAAGCCTGACCTTACCTTTCTGGTCATGATCAACTTTCTTGGAAAAACTCTTTACAATTTGATTGTTTCAGGCTGTTTTCCCATATATCCAAATTCAAAAGAGGTTTTCTGTTACACTACACAGAGAGATTTTGAATGTCTTCTGTGGCTGGTGGAGCTGAACATTTTATTTCTATTTTGCTGAACAGTGCTATATTGTCATCCTATTTTTTAAATGAGAAGCTGAATATTCATGGAAAGCTGGGCTGTGTACTGAGCATTTTGGGGTCAACAGTCATGGTTATTCATGCTCCAGCAGAGGAGGAGGTCACCTCACTAGATGAGATGGAAAGAAAGCTGCAAGATCCAGGTCTGTATGCAATTGCAGTGAACACATGCTCCAGTTCATAGGGAAGTGTCTAGGACACTGAACAACTCTGAGCATGTTTGTGGGCATAGTCTGGTGTTCTGTCTCATGTGCATCACTCTTCCTTCTTTTTTACAGCGTTTGTTACGTTTGCTGTTCTCCTAACAGTGGTTGCCCTTGTCCTGATCGTTGTTGTGGCTCCAAAGAGAGGTCAGACAAATATACTGATCTACATTTTAATTTGCTCACTCATCGGTGCCTTCTCTGTCTCATCTGTGAAAGGCCTGGGCATTGCCATTAAACAAATGCTGCAGAGGAAGCCAGCCTATCGCCATCCATTGGTTTACATTTTGGTGGGCACCTTGGTGCTCTCAGTCAGCACTCAGATCAGCTATCTCAACAAAGCACTGGACGTGTTCAACACATCCCTTGTGACACCCATTTATTATGTGTGCTTCACTACGACAGTGGTGACATGCTCCATCATCTTGTTCAAGGAGTGGAGTAGTATGCAACTGGGCGATATCATTGGAACCCTGAGTGGATTCTGCAGCATTATCATTGGCATTTTCCTGCTGCATGCTTTCAGAAACACTAACATCACCTGGAGTCAGTTGATGTCTACTGTTGCTAAAGAACCGTCAGTGCCACAGCATGAATTTGAAACCAGTCACACTTTGCTGGAGAGCATGGAAGACCCAGCTTTGGCATATGAGGAGGACAACGTTTTATTCCGTCAGTGAAACACTCAAGCAGTTTTCATCATCAAAGTATCATGAATTGCAAACTCAGCCCACCCATTTTTACTAGAAGTATTTACTTTTCTGCAGTCCTATTGAAATTTGTTTCTGGGACCTGTTAAGTGTGGACCACTCCTCTTTATGTCAGCTATTGGCAGTAATGAGTGAAAATGTTCAGTAGTTAGCACCACAGAAACCTGGGGGTGATTATATGTTAGGCAATGAAAAAAATGATCCTTTTTTTATGCAGCATCTTTTCTTGGAAAATTTTAGCAAAGAAGAATGGTCTTTATAAACCATGTTTAAAAAATGCAATTTTCTTTTAATAATAAAAGACAATCCTTGCTGAAGTGGCAGGTACTCTGCTATTATCTTGGTGATGGCCTTAATATTTCTGGCTCGCTTTATATTTTTATAATTTATTGCCAAGCAAGCTTGCAGATACTCTACATGAAGGATATTCATTGGAGACATAATATGAAGAAAACAGTGTTTAACCCCTTTAGTTTTTAATATAAAATTTTATGCAAGATTTTTTCATTTTTGATGTTTTGAATGAACTTTGATTAGATGTAACAAAAAAATTTTAGCAAATACAATTCTTGATACATCTCAGCTTTTCTACCCAAGGAATCCTGAATGGATTATGAATCCCTGAATATGCCTGTACTTTTTTATTTCTAATCTAAGACCAAGTTTAAGAAAAAGAAAATTCCTTAGAGGCCTGAAAACAGTAGCTACTGGCTTGAAAGGTTACATGAGGTTATAGAATTAAGTATTCAAAGGCAGGAGAAAACCAGAACATTCAATGAAAAATGCCCACTTTGTTTTATATTTTGAGGATTAAGAAGGGGCTTTACTTATTTCCATACTTCTTCCTAATACAGCCATCTATTAATTAGAACCCATTTAAGCTTTTCAAATTTTTTTCCTTATTTTCTGGGAAAGTATAGTTCTTTATTAATAATAAAGCAATCCTGTTAATTTTTATTCTTTTATAAGTGCAAAATCCATTTTTACAATCCATGCACTACTTCTGAAAATACTAGGTAGAGGATGCACTGTAGGCAAGGGGTGAGAAATGTCAGAATGTTTGGGTTTTTTTTAAGTTTAGACTTTCCTACCAGAGGCTTTGAAGATTGGCAACTGCACTGTAGTACTGTAGTTCCTCAGTTGTGGTCACTGATCTTTCTGTCACAAAAAAGCTTGCACAGTGTCCACGGTTTACTCATTACAATCCTCTTTGTTTTTCACTTTGTAAGTAACTTCAGCAATCAGATGTGTTGTTGGTGACAAGCTCATCAGTAAGCAGCATTTCCAACCTTTGGATTTTTAAGTATGAGTCCAGAAAGTTTGCCAGAGGATGCCAGCACTTCAGCAGTTAAAAACTGGTTTTAATCAGCTGAAATTTATAAAACAAACAGAACTTCTTCATGAATCATGCTATATGTTTTCTAATGTTCAAAAGGTTTAGTAGAAGAGGATGGTTTGGATGGATAGAAAATTGTTCTGCCAAAGAACAAATTGTTCTGCCTTTGCAAAAGGATTGCTGCTTATATTTCATATATTTGTGTGGCATCACTGTTATCCAGCAAAAGGGACATTTTCACCAAAAATGTTCTTGCCTTCAAAATATAATGAAAATGTATACATTATCAATTTGGAGTACTTTTGAGCTTGAGTGATGAAATTTGTAGCAATTCTTTGCTGTTAAAATGCTTGCGTTATAAAAGCTTCAGACAAGAAAATCTACTAACAGGATTTCATTACTTCTTAGTTAATGTAGAGAGTACTTTGGTTTTATTGACCAGATTCAAGCTTCAAAATATTTTTAGTGAAAAACAAGTTTGTTCTTTAACAAAAACTTTGAAGTGTTTTTCACTCTGAATTACACAATTCAAAGACTAACTGAAGAAAATATTGACTGTAGAAAAGAGAAAAATAAATGCTTTTGTATAGTTCATGACCCCTTTATTTGCTTATAGAGTCATCATTATGGTGTGACCAAATGAGTTATTTGTAAGCAATAGCAACCAGACCAGTTCTTGAATGGATGTGCATTGGCATTTTTTAAGATACGTCATAATACTTTCTTTGAGAAGGGTGTGGACTCCTTCTATACCAACTGCTGGGAATAATTAACTTACACCAAGCAAAATTCCTATATTTCCTACTGGACCTGTGTATCTGCTATTATACGTAAACAATAGTAATTGATACATAAATTATATATATATATTTCTATATAAATATATAAAAAGATACATAAATAATATATACATGTAATATGTTATTTATACATAAAGAATACTAATACTAAAAATAGCAACTAATAATAAAATAATGTTATTTTCTAACAATCAAAAAAAAAACAATGGTTATTTTCATGGTGTACAAGAAATCCATCATCTTAGAAATTAATTCGTGATTATTTTTTTGTATAAAAACATTTGTTGTAAGAGATCCTATTTTTTTATGTTTATATTTAGTTGCTAGTTTCGAATAACTTTGATTTTTTAATTGAAATTATGCTAATATTTCTCTTGTAATAAATTATTCATGGTTATGTATTAAATTATCTGTGTTTTTTAAACAAGGGATAAAAAAGAGTATAATTCATATTTCTAAACTAGAGAAGAAAACCCAAAGCTAATGTATTAGGCATGTCTGTCTCACAGCCAGTCTCAGTGGAGGGTGCTTCAGTGAGTTGTCAGGTTTTCCAGGCAGTGAAATGAAGTATATATTACTATATAAAGTAATTAGATGTGTTTTGGTATGTATGACAAATAGTTAAGAAGGAGAACAAAGCAATCCTCAATATATTGCTAGCCAAATTACAGCTTTTAAATGCTGATACTAAACAAATCTTGGCAGCTACTCATTATTACCATATCTCAGGACAAATAAATGGGCAATTAAGTTCCTTACATAGCTGCACCAACTAAATTTAGGTAGGTCAAGAAGACTTGGATAGGTTAAAAAATCTGTATGATTTTGGAAGGAAATACATCAGTTACCAGTTTCTATAGAAATCTGCTCTACCATCTTCATTTTCCAGCCACACTTGAAAGAACCATGCTATAAAAAAAAAATCTTCATCCCAAAGGGTACGTATTCAAAACTTCAAACTCTACTCATCAGGGTTGCATCCTGGAGCTGTATGGGGAATTGCATGCTTCTAGAAAATGCTGCTCTCTCATTTTTTAAATTCCAGCAAAATAAAACTGGCAAGTGTGCTAGAAAATATCCTTCCAGCAGGGCATGTTTGCAGTTGCTGACTCCTTTTGGGAAGGTTTTAGAAGGTGCCATGGTTCAGAACATGGCTGGGAGGCTGAGCAGAAGCCAGAGGGGTGGTGCATGAGGGGGGAGCGATGGTGATGAGCTTTGGTGAGCCTGTAGGGCCTCCCATCTGTGAAGTCTGCTGGGGGAGAAGGAGAGGAGGCAGGAATTGGTCTGAAAACCAAAATAGCTCTGGAAACAAGTGTCACCGGCCCTATACACACTAGTAATTGGTCTGCATTGCTTCTCAGGAGTACTCTCAACAAGTGAAATTAATTTCACTTTCTGAAAATAAATTCCATTTTGTTAATAATGCATCTTTTTATAGAAAAAAGATGTATCCTAAGTGGCTGGCCCACAAAAGCTGGGAGTTCTGCTGCTTTTTCCTCCCATCTATAATATAGACCTGTTCCAAGTTTTCTGATTTTTGATCAGCAAACAGTAGCTAAATTTTTACAAATGCTGAACACTCTGATAACCTTTGACGGAAGCTTCCCTGTATGGAGGTGTGTCCTTTACTGCTCTTTCCAGATCTCATTATCATCACATGGAAGTTTAAAAAAAAACAGCAGACATCTCTTTATGGTCAGTGACAAGGATGTCACTCACTATTCATCAATTTTTTGCCTGTTAGAATATGGTTGGAATTTGAACTAAGCTCACAGTCACCATGAGGTCTAAGGGGACCTACTCAATCTTTATGTAAGGGTGTAGGTGTTCTCGTGAATAAATACACTGTAAATACCTGACCTTTGTACTGCAGACCATTTCTTGCTGCCAATTAAGCACCAGTTTCACTGACTCTCAAGCAAGTTCTTGTGTTTTTCTTTTATTTACTGTCAGCTTGATGATAGCAGCTGTTAAATTTATTCTGTCCGAATGTTAATAACATCTTCTTCAATTTTTTCCCCAAGCAACCTACAAAAAGATTATATTGGGAAGTGGAAGCCTGGTAGGCAAGCCTTATTGGCTCCAGTTATTAGACCAGCATGTTTCCAGGATGGGTGCACATTCACCATGGGACAGCTCAGTGAGACAGGCTGGAGCAAGGTGCTTTGAGTACATAAACCTAATGGAGCTGGTTTTCACTGCATGGTGCTGTAATGTATTACACATTAACTTGCAGTAATATGGCAAACCAGTTTTACAAGAGCTGCTTAAAAGGATGTTTCATATATTATTCAAAGTTTATATTGTGGAAAGAATTTGAATTTCACATTTATAGCCCATCATCTCCTGAAAAGCTTTGCACTTCCGTGGCCTGGGCATAAACTATGGCGAGCTCCATGTGTGTACTGTGCTGTTGTCTCAATTTTGGCTGAGGGACCAGAGCCAGGACAGCTGACCTGAAGTGGCCAAGGGGATATTTCACACCACAGAATGTCATGATCGTTGTATAAACTGGGGGGGAGAGGCTGGGGGCTGCTGGTCACTCCCTGTGGATGGGCTGGGCACCAGTCAGCAGGGGGTGAGCACTGGTACTGTGCATCACTTGTTTCTCTAGGGTTCTATTCCTCTCTCTTTCTCCTTTTAATCACTGTTGCTATTGTTACATCTTACTTTGTTTCAGTTAATAACCTGTTCTTATCTCAACCCACAAGTTTTACCTTCTGCTTCTCTATCCCACCAGGGCAGAGGCCGTGAGCAAGCAGCTGCGTGGTTCGGTTGCCAGCTGGGGCTAAGCCACAACAGTTGTAGGTCTGCATTCAGTCATAGGTCTGATAAAGGGTTGAATGCTCATAGATAAATTGATTGTGAAAGTAAACAGTGACATCAGTTACTGGCAATTATTCTGGGAAGTTACATGGAATAATGAGAATATCATGGTTTACTTAATGCAGAAATGCCTTAGAAGTGTGTTTGAAGGTACTCCCAAAAGTTCAAACAGTGGGACTAACAACTTCCTTTCCCAAGGGTTGATGACTATCAAAACGCTATTGCAGTAAGGATGACTGATTACTCCCAGGACTATATTTGATTATGAAATGCCATCATCCTTTGGAAATTCATCTTTTTGTGGGGTTTTCTATATTTAATTTTAATGTTACAGTTATTTTTTAAATTTGGAAATAAAAAATTAAACTGCGACTCAATTTGTGACCAAAATTAAATTGAAGTCAATCGTTCTTTATCTAGCATGTTTTACAAATTTTACCTACAAAGCCCTATAAAACTAAATATTGTGATGTATTTACCTATAAATAATTCACAATGCAATCACATATTTCCAGGAACATCTTTATTTGTAATGATCTGACTATTTTGCTTTAAATAATTATGAATTCCATCTACCTTTCCTTCCCTACAACATATTTGTGTTGACCATAGTTAAGATTTAAAATTAAAAGTGAATAATAACATAAGAAGTAGGGTCACAGACGTGTCCATATAAGGTATCATAGGATCCATCTGAGCTTTACTGTCAGGTTCCAGTTTTAACTTGCCCATTAACCATTCTGGACATTTGCAAGGGGAGGGCTAAGGCACTGCTTTGTCCAAGTAGTGGGTCCAGGCACACGTGTGGGCACTGCTCCAGCAGCCAGTCACTTAGCTTGCTGTCCCTTGGACAGAGCCCTGCTCTGCTTCCCCAGGGCTGGATGCTTTGCAGTGCACAAGGACCTGCCTTTAAAAGTGACCTAACCAGAGCTTGTGAGAGGTTCTTTCATCATCCTTGCTGCTGTCAATCAGTATTCCCTGGTGCATGAGTCATAGCAAGTATAAATAATGTAATAATATTGATGCAAGAATTAGTGTAGCTCTGAACAAAATAATGAATAAAAATATCTATAAGGTGAGTAGGCGTGGTTACTGCTTTTCAAACAGATTTTTCTCCCTACCATGCAAACAAAGCCTTGAGAGGCCCAAACCAGCGTCCTGGAGTATCTTTCTCAAATAAGAAAAACTGTGCCAAGACAAACAGCTGCTTCAATATGTAGGATACTGGTACTTTGATTTAGGGAGAGACCTCTCTAAAAGGTTGAGGCTTTCTGTACCAGCTACATTAGTGGCATGTTTAATGCTAACCTTTCAGAAAATATATTGGTATAAAATCTGTGATTATGTCATCTCTGTTAGATCTCTGAGGGTCACTGTTAACTCTGCAAAAGTAGGACGTCCTTCAGGTTTCTGGAAAGAAAAGCAGAGGATAAACTTGTGTTAGCAGATTGGTTGATTACAGTACCAGATTTCAGAAATTAGATATAAGTACATATGAGATACCACTTTAAAATTATGTTTCATTTTATTAATACATAAGAAAAGATCAATTATGTCATTTTAGAGAAAAAAAAAAATCCTGTTATTCATGACACCAGCAGCATGAGCACAGACACTCGTAAAAAATTCCTGAAATTTCTTTATACTTATTTCAATGCTGCAACAGAATTCTTGTGGAATTTCTTCATGCAGTAGGTCTATGGAAAGCCCTACCTGTCAGGAAAACATGGTACTCAGGAATGCTTCCTGTGCTTTTGGAAAAGGATCTTCACTGCTGTATAATTTGAAGTGCTGCAGCTCAGTATGGAACAAACACCTCTCTGGTGGCAGACAGGAAAGAGAACTTCTTCCCTATGATCTCTCTGCTGGCTGGCACCTTCGTGGATATTTGCAGTAAGCAGGCAAGCTGGATGTAATTTAGATTTCCATCTCCTAAGCTTTTTTTTTTTTTAAACGCAAGATTTTAAAATTTTATTCAGAGTAGGAGACAGTGGTAGTGACAAGATTGTTCAGCTACTCACTGTGCATGCCTGCACATTTACATGAAAAAATTGCACACAAAGCTCTTCTGAAAGGACTTTTAACCTAAAATAAAGATTTGTTTCTTCTAGAGACTAGAGAAAGAGGGCCCTTAAGGGATTAATCAGATGGAGAAGTTGATGAAATCAGTGTTTTGTTACCAATAAAGGAAATAATAGGTGCTGGACATACGATGAAAGAACATGAAGTACTAAATCAGCTTGGAGAGGGTGAAAGAGGTGCAGCCTAGGGGCTGTACTGATGTACAGAGATACTGATATACACTTGAAATAGGAGTTTCAAAATCTACATTTAGTGTGCATATCCACTTGGTATATGAATGTGTTATCATCCAGAGCAGATCTAGAGAGAGCCATGCATGATACAAAGGCACAAAAAAGGTATCACATTGGACCCAGCAGAGAAACATGACAACAGTGGCATATTCCAACCTAGGGATGGTCTAGATCTATTGTACTGATAGTGTGCTCTGTATTTCTTGGCTGCAACAGTCAAAAGAAGCAGAGGCTTGCAAACTTTGGTGTGATTTGTGAAAAACATTGTTGGAGATGCTGAGAATGCCACAGATGTGAAATAAGGATTTCATGCCTTGAGCTTTTAAGATTGCTTTTATATCCATGTTAAAAATTAAGAACAAAGTTAATACCTCAGGGGGAAAAAAAATGGGGAACAAACCTCATGCCAGCAGCTGTACATGACTTTGTACACAGGAAGTGATGCCAAATGTGGTCGATAAAGTCGGTTACCCTGAGAAATCTCACGGACAACTTCAGCATTTGACTTGGTTTCAAAAGGCATTTTGCCTTCTGTGAAAACTTCCCACATGAGTACACCTAGAAGTGAACCAAAAATAGGTTTAGGACAAAATAAAAGATGCCGAACACACAAGCTTTTAACAAAATTAGGAGAATAAAAACACTCCTGATATTTCTGTGTGTTGAAAAATGAATGAAAATACAGGCAGCCGGAGCTGAATGAAGGATACAACCCAAACAAATTTCAACTAAAATAATTCTGCTCTCTTTTAAGTCAGCTAAGGTGACAGTCCATGAAACTCAGATGAATATGTTTGGCTAGTGAGGACTCATCAGAAATGCACATTTCAGTCAAAATCTACTTTTTGACCTCTACTTTCAAAACCTTCTGAATGAAAAATCCATTTGTCCAATATAAGCGAACTGAAAAATGGAAAGGACTGAAGTTTAAGATGGGTAGCATGGGTAAAAGTTTACACTTTCCTAAATCACATCAGTAGTTTTAGGGAAGCATGGTTGCCCTTTCACCTAATCAACTCACCAAATGACCAGACATCTGATTTGCTGCTGTATTTTTTGAAATGAAAGACTTCAGGAGATGACCATTTGACTGGAAACTTGGCACCTGAAGAGCTGATATATTGATCATCAATGACATACCTGAAGAATAAGAGGAAACCACATATATTTGAATGAGTGATATTTCTACAAATGGGTTAGAATTCCAGAAAAATAGTGTTAATTTGGAAATAACAAAATTACATCACTATTTTAGTATAAAATGTGCACCAAAAAAAACCACACGGGAAGCTATGTACTTAAAGACATTTCTGTTTAAATTAATTATTTGGATTATTCATCAGAAATATGTCAGAATAAAACATTTTTATATGAGCACAAGACTGACAGGATGGTTATTATTGTCATATTTTGGGTATATATTAATGCACACAACACTTCATCATGGGCAGGAAAATCCGCAGCAATAAGTAATTAGTCTTTTTGTAAAAGGATCCTTATTTTCAACTGCTTGTTCTACCCGAATAAGACTCTTGCTGTCCATTTTCACAGATACCATATCAGGGACATTGTTACCAAAGCAACATACAAAGAAATGTTCATCACGTTTGAGGCAACAGTCTTTTAGGTGCACTAAAGTAATTGTTCTTCCCCAAGATTATAGGAGCTGACCTCCCAGATAAAATGAAATGATGTGCCTAATGCAGGCATTCATAGGGCAACACTTTAAAAGATTACTAGGCTGACGCCAACATACTTACAAACTCTGGGCTCATTGTCCAAGTATTAATGCTCCTGAGCAGATCACAGATGTGCAGTACACATTTATTCTCAGGGAAAGCATAAATGTAATTTTTTTAAAGCACCTTTTGAAGGAGGTCATATTGAAATAAATAATCTTTTTGCCTCACTTTCTCATTTTGGTGCAGGGACAGAAATATGGGAGGCTATTGAATAAGGAACATATGAAATAGCAGTACAAAATAATCTATAGTAGCTGTTGTGTGAGCTCTGAATAATTAGGTTGTGCTCCCATCATTTCTCCACAGCCTCCCCAGGAGAGTGAGTCCTAGAGCCACACCACTGATCTCCACTTTGTGGCCACAGTGAGCCATTCAGGTCCATTATTCTTAGGCTGGACCCTGACGGCCACCTTGGTTTTACTGTATTTTCTGATTCATCTGAATGAGTCTAGAGCCCTGATACTGGCCTTACCCTTTTGGGGAGCAGTGTAAGCATGGTACAGGATAGCCCTTTGGAGAACAAGTCCTTAGCTACAAACTGCTAGGGTGTTGTAAGCCTGAGGTTAGAAACAGGAGGCAAAGCCGAAGGAGCGTGGCTGTGCTGACCTAATAACTTGCAGCCACAGCCACAAGCTAAGTGTGACCACAACCTTCTGCTCAAAGCCACTGACAGTCTTACAAGCTCATCTGCTTCCTAAGCAAGCTGATTCAGTCTGCTAACCCATGGAAAAAACAGCCAGTAAAACACAGAAGTGGAGAGCTTTGTGCTGGGCTTGCAAGAGGAAAGAAGAAAGAAGGCATCCCTTTTGGTTAGCATTCAGTCACTTGGCCAGATCATCTGTGTCCTCTGAGGAAAGTCCGTGAGGCTAGAGCTATGTTTCTCAGGCTGCTGCCTGTCAGAGTTGAGAGTGCTCTCTTTCCTCACTTTGGCTGCTTTCATCACTAAGCAGGAAAACCACATCCCTGCTAGAGCAGCACGTATCACACTTCCTGCCCACATGGTCCTCCCAACATCCTGCCTCTCCCACTCAGCTACCGCTGCCTCCAGAGGTCAGCAGCAGCTTCCAGTTCTGTCCCTAGCGACTTTCTGACCTCCATCCTGCTCAGGAAAGCTGGGGAACTTCTTTCTTCAAGCTTCTGGCTGCCCTGTGCACTCTGGGCATTTCTCTGTCCATAAACACCTCTGACATTTACCTGGCACTTTGTTTACCTACCTTGCACTCACCAAGAGCAAGAGGAGGACGCAGCATCCAGTTCATGGTACAGTGGTTAAACATCAATACAATTTTCACCAGGATTCAATAATTACCCACAATGGGATTCCTCAAACCAGTGAAGCAAGCAGTGAGGTTAACTAAAGATCATGCTGCAGCTGTCTGAGAATATGTTCTCACAAAACTTTTCTCAACGGCCTCGTACCTTGCCATGCCAAAGTCAGATACTTTAACGACATGCTCCACATTGACCAAACAGTTTCTTGCAGCCTGGGGAAAATGGGAGAAACACATCTGAAATCTGTGCTAAAGAATTTTAAGAGAAATACAGCAGCTGATTATATTTGCTTCAGCCCATGCTGTTTATATCTGAAAGGAGATAAGTGTATTGATCAAAAATATTCGTTAATTTTTGTATTAGTGAATTTTTGACTCTGAGTCAGCGAACATATTTCACTACAGTGTAGTTACACATACATAGCACATAGCAACTTAAATGTTTGTAGTATAACTTGCAATATTACATACTATTGCAATACTTACATATTCTTGAACAGTGAAAGACTTTTAGGCTGCAGAGTCTAATGATCCAACCTGATATTTTCCTGAATATCAACACTAGGGACAATTAGTGTAAATTTTAAAATTTGTTTTGTGATGTTTTCATTACAGAAAGTAGGAACCTCCTGGTAATTTTCAAGATTTTACATTTCTTCATGCAGCTAGGTAGGAGAGGAGGATTTCCTTTCTACATCCAAATGTAAGCATTGAAAAAGTATCAAGGAGTAAAGAAATAAACTCCTTTCCTCTAATTCCCTGCCTATGGACAGAAAAGACATTCATATATCCCAGCACTAATGAATGGTTTTAGGGAGCAAAAAAAATATAGATAGAAAAATATTTCAATTTTTTAAAATTCTCATTGTTGCTGACCTTTTGTAATGCTGTAATTTTGGTTGTGTTCTAATCACTTTTGCATTGAGATGTCCTAATGGAAAAAACTTCTCTCAAGTAGTTTTTTGAGCTGTCCATGGGCAAAACAAAAGCTGAAAAATTTGGGCTTGCCTTATTAGATCCTACAGAGCTGAAATCTTACAGGATAGTGTCCCATTAAATGCAACAGCACATTCTTTACTGAAAATATTTTATGAGAATTTCAGAAAACCTGTTGTACTCACCAAATCACGGTGAATAAAGCCATTTCTTTCCAGATATTCCATCCCTTCACAAACATCCTGGCACATGCTCAGGAGAACATCTCTGCTGAGTTTCCCCCGCCTTTGCCGAAGGTAATTGAGCAGGCAACCATTTTCCATGAATTCAGTCACAACGTAGAGAGGTTTGTGATGTGTGCACACTCCATAAAGCTGGACCAGCTTTGGGTGGGAAAGTTTCCTGTTTAAAATCACATTTTAGACAGGATAATATTTGTTCTTGGCAGGTAACTAAACCTTTGATTCTCATGATGGTTTTGAAAAATATTTTCACTACTTAATAAACAGTGTCCTATTCAGCTGCCTTCAGAGATCTCCCAGTACTTACATTTCTCTCTACAACTTCCTCCAAAAAGTTCACTCTGTGAACTCAAAATTGTTCATCAGTTATATAAATGCAGTGAATGCAAAGCTTGATTTGGTTGATGCAAAATGGAAAGGTCTAGTTACACTTAGCTTTCAGGCAGGGGCCTTGACCCTGCAGGGGTTCATCTCTTCTGGGCTTTGCCAAGACCTCATGTGAATGCTTTCCTAATTTTTTAAAATTTGCAGGTATGGTAGTACGGTTTCTCAAAAGCTTTAGTTGGATAGACGCTCTGCCAGTGTTTCTAGAGATACTGAATTATAGATTAAAGAATAGTTGTAGGAGCACATTTACATTTTACCAGAACTTTTATTCCCCATTGATCTACACAGTACAAAACAAGGCACACTCTAAAGAAAGAGTCTGGGCAAAGGAAGCATCTGCATCATCTTGGTTCAGACCCTTATGCCAGCCTCTCTGTCCCACACATCCACCATTCCCATCAAACTGCTTTGTTTGTTTGAAATGGAATTAGGTTATATTTATCTCTTGGTAAACTGACATAATAGCTTTTGTACTTACATCATCAGTTTGGCCTCCTCTATGAAATCATCTTCAGACATTGCACCTTCATTGATTGTTTTGATGGCAACCTTGATAGTCTCTTTCCATTTACCAAGATAAACAACTCCAAACTGCCCACGCCCAAGTTCTTTCAGTAACAACAGTTCAGATGGGTTTAATCCCCACTCCTCTGCAAAAGGAACCCAATATGTCAGGAGAGTCAGGCCAGCTTTCCTGAGCCATGCTCCAGGAGACACACCTTGCTGATGGCAGTTAATGAACACTGCAAAGCATTGCACTTGTTCATCAGCTATAACATGAGTTTTAAATATCTGAAAACTTTCACTGGCTCATATATGTTTAAATAGAAATGCTATTTTTCAGCTTAAAGAATGTGATTAGTAATTTTGCTTAATGTAGGAATGTCTGAGGCAAGTGTTTAGCTTTGATTACGCATGAGAACCTTTTTGGCACTATGATATCTGATGCTTTTAGCTACAAACCAGTTCCAGATGGATAGTATAGCTACAGAAATAGTCACTGGCTACCTGTGTTGTAATAACTACAATAGTTCAACCCTTCAGAAATTAAGATTGAGACTGATGGGAACATGAAAGATACTGTTTTGGAGGTTCCTATTGTCCCATAGATGATATGAGATTCCTGATCCATATACACAAAACTGGCATTTATTGCTTGTTTAATACCACATAAAATCCCATTCTTATTTCTAAAACCTGCAGAACTGAGAGAGAAAATCTCCATAAATAGTATTAATTTCAGGTTTCAGTTTTGGTTTCCTAAGCATTTACATAAATCAAATAGCCTTTCAAAAGCTATTAAACGTCTATTTGAGTCTTAGGTTTGCTTAGAAAAGTCCAAATAGCTCTGAATGCACTGGTGGTTGTAACAGAAGCACAACAGTCACTGCACAGAAGCAGCTGAGACAGGTGTCTCTTTTGGTACTGACACCTTACACTGTTTATGTGTTTATTATTACCAAGGAATTTCACAGATACAACTTAATTATTAAGCTGGGTGAATATTAGTGAAATTCTTGCCTCAGCAGAGAGCTAAATCTCCTTCAAAAGAAGATAAAAAAATTTACCGTAACTCAATCCTGTGTTCTCTGCTGAAGTACATCCATCTGATCCGACTGGATATCGGAGACGTGTGATAAGACCTGTAGAGGACAAAGCCACAATATTCTGCTGACAAATTACTTAATTTTAAAATACACTATATTATACCTCTTCTCAAACAAAACTACTTGGAATATGACATAAATTTCTTATTTCTTGAAGTTACAGTTTGCTCAGATAAAAAACTACAGTGAGAAGAAGTTGAGAAAGACTATTTAATAGGACCCTGACTACAAAAGCACTTCTACTTTCATAAACCCAATAGTAATACTCTTGCTTTTTTGTACCATGTTAGTGATCTTAAATGAACTCTAAAATACTGTATCACCAACCCAAGCAGGGTCTGCCAGCATGACTTCCAGGTTTGAAATATTTTTATGTCTGTCATTTATTTTCTTTGCATTCATAAGTCAACAATACTAGTGAATACATCCTTCACCAAGGACTCCCAGAATTCATTGATTCTTCAAACTATTACTTTTAGGGCCAATTCTGCTACAAATTCTCCTCCCTCCAGCAAAAGGCTCTGTCCATTCCCATATCTTCCTCTCTAGTGCAAGGAATCTCTATGTGTTTTCCCATCTTCCCTCATTCAGAGTAAAACCATTTTATACTGTATTAAAATGATGGGCAGAACCAAGGTGAAGGATATTTTTTATGCTAAAAATTATAAAAATCTGCCATAAGCCAATGGTTAGAGGTATCTAACCCTGGTAAGCTGAACACCAGTGTTAGAGAATCCCTGTGCTCCCTAATTCTGCCCTTGATTGTTTGTGGTATGGGTTAGTTTTTTTTTCAAAATCAGTAGAATGCTGCCTGCTGATGCACAGCATAGCTCCTGCTTTTATTAGATTGCATGCATGCAGGTCCATGTTGTAGACAATGAAAGAATTATGATCAAATTTCACCCAAGTCCCATTCAGTCAAATGTGAACCAAGAGAATACAAAGCAGGCTTTTATCTTTGCTAAACTCATTTAATACACGTAGACAATTTTGGTAGTTTCACTTCCCCCACAGTATATGCACATGACAGCTTTGACTTTGGCAGAAGGAATTAAGGCATATTTGAATTCATTAGCAATAGAAACACTTGTATCTCTTTTGTAAGGAAAGTATTAGAAAAAGATGTAAAACCATTATCAGCTCACGTGCATTACCTGCAGCATTGTGTTGATGATACTCTATGAGTTCAGGAACAGATGAAAAGAGATAATTTTCTGCTACATAATATAGTCCCAAGTGATTTTGTTTAATGTGATAATGTAGAATATCTCCATTATGACTTCTGAAATCAACAAAGCATTATAATTTTCAGTTTTTAATTTTATAAAAATAATTTATACTATAAAGCTGCTTAAATTTCACTATGGAAACAGAAAAATCTGAAAACTTGGGACACAGTTCTCAGCTTAAAATGGCTGTGTGTAGCAATGGCTACTGTTTCAGGAGAAAAGAGATTCCTTGACTGGCTCTTTCTCCCAACTTTGGGAGATAATTGCACAATGTCTTTTGTTGGCCAAATATTTTTTACCCCTGTATCATTGCACTCATAAGAAATAGCCACAGTGTTTAAGAAGTGCTCCTCCTCATTTAGCATTTATTTGAATATAACCTCTTAAAATTAAAATGTTATGAATTACCAGCATTTTCTCCCAAAAACTTAAACACATACTCATGTATATAATGAGATTAAATTTTCAGTTCTACTTCTTCAAAGAGTCTTAATCGGAGCTTTTATTTGACACCTTTGTTTTTCTGAATTTCTTTGCATTATCTGTCATTTTTGCTTTCTGTATATTTTGCTGTCTGCTTATCCCTGCTTTCTGTTGACACTCAAAATTAAGCAGTTAAGTTTGCACTTCAGGCTGGTCATTGCTGAAGGATAGTACTCTAAATTGTGGACACCTGGTCACAACAAGTAGCGATCAGAATACAGAAACATTATGCACTCTGCATTACTGAGTCATTGTCAGAAACACTGCTGAGCCTACAGGAATTGCAAGCCTGTCTCCAGCACAGGGACAGTGGAGAGAGCTGGCCCCAGGTTTCCAAGGAGGGAATGGAGGGAGGGAGGAAGAGGGTAGAGCTAACAGCAAAACCTTTGCTGCTCTCACCTCTAGCTTGCTGTAAGAGGCAGAGAAGAAAAGCAGACACAGTTGATACAGGGGGATGTAGGAGGGCTGATGAAGAGGGTATAAGACAGCTTGAAATAGGTTAAATCAGTGCTGTAGGTGATTGCTACTGGTACCAGCAAGTGTGAGTCCTGTGGCTGTTGTCTGGCAAGAGTAAGACTGCACAGTAGGGGTAAGGTGATTTTAGGAGACAAACAGATGAATTTTGAGGACAGCAAAGTCTGGGATGGATTTACAGTGCACAGAGGCTGTGGAGAAAGGAAACAATTTGGTGCAGTGGCCAAAGGCTGCAGCACCATTTCCACAGCAGATCATTGGAGAATTTCAGTGAGTGCAGCTAATCTTGTCTTGCCAGGACATTTGCACACTGACTCCCAGATCCACTGCCCACCATGATCTTTTCTGCACACAGGGTGATTAACTCTGCACAAACAGCATCCCAGTGTTCCCTGCTCTTGTGCACTGCATGTCCTATTATTCTGAGGAGCCTGGAGGAAGCTTTTCTACCACCACCCTAACCATTCAGAGGAACTCACCCCTTAGCCCGTGAATACATGGACAGTGTAAGAAGACCCTGTCGGCTTGAATCTCTGACAACAAACGCACCTTCTTTGGGCTGAAAAGAAATCAAAGTAGAATTATTTATGCTTTTGAGCTTCAGTAATGCTCCCTTGAGACAGGACTTGCAGCTGATTACCAAATCAGCTATGACTATTTGGGAGGAAAATAAAGAAGTGGAAAACAGGAATGGATATTCAGGTACAGGGCAGAGCTAAATAAACCCAGAGAAAATAATAAGTGCCAGGTAACTTTTTAGAGATAAGTAATTTAGCTGAATTATACTCTTCAGTGTGAAAATGCTTTGATTTACTAAAAAATCAAATTGTACATATCATGAGGAAAAAAAATCCAGTTAAAACAATTCTGTCTGACATGTTCTTCCTTGGTCTTTCTTGTCCCGGGCCCGAGCAAAGACCCAATGAGTTTGACTGAGTTAGGCACTTTGGAAACTGACAGGGTAGAATGCAATGTGGATTGTTTGCTCTGTATTTAAGGAAGACGTAGTGATTTGTTAAGTTCTGCTAAACTCAGAGCTAATTAGCTTACTACATGGATTTCAGTTTTCAATGTCTAATGTAACAGACAAGCACAGTAAGCTATGTAATTGTATTTATCTGGCATGGAAAATCTACATAGAATTTGCTGGGGCTACAACTTAAAGCTTTGTGAAATCTGGATTGTCTGCACTTTACACTTACACCAGAAAGCCTTTTCATTTTAAGGTAGAAATCTTAAAATGTACTTTCTCTCTTACAGAATACCAAACAGATTTTGATTTGACTGTGATAACGCTCTTGATGCCTCTAGTGATAGATATTTTTCAGTACTGTTAGCTCGATGTGTAAGCTGAGTTACCTTCTGGCGCAAAAGAAGTTCTGCCTGGCTTCTGTTTATGTTTCTGCAGTACCACCTGCAACAAGGAGATAAAGCAGGTGAAAATGAATGTTTGCTTTGTTTCATAGTTTAGTAGTTGCATTATTCCAAGTCAAAAACATGTTTAGAAATATCATTGTATATGAACATGTTTGGAATTTGGAATGATTTTATTAGAACTTTTTTTTTAGAACTTTTGGGCCCCAATTTACTGTGACTAAATATTAGCTCAAATAAAAGAAACCCCAGGGGAAAAAAAAAAAAAAGTTATGCCAAACTGTGATAAAATTTACAGTCCTAAATGATTTGTCAAGCCTCTCTTCTCTACAATTTTTCTGAATTTTAATCTTCTCTCCAGTAATTTAAATTTATAGTAATTGGAAATAGCTACATGATCACAAGCAAAGATCAGAATACAGAAACATTATGCATTGGGTCTACACAAACAGGAAAAATCTGGATTCTGACACTATGATTCATGCACATGAATGTTAATTCATTTTAAGAGTAATGATTTGTAACAAAAAAGAAAGCTTTTGATAAACATGTTCATGTCTAAAAAGAAATTGAAGGATCAAACATTAAAATGTATCTCTGCAATCCATTTTCAAAAATTAAAGCACAATTACAATTTTCAAAGGTACTTACTTGTATGTTTCTAAATTGCTTTTCTTGTTCTCGGTAACATAGTTTCTGGGAATTAGGCCTTCATTCCTGAAACAACATATTTGAGATAATATTATAGTATGGTATAAAAAATTAGTAGGATTAAGATATTCATTATCCTTTTGTTGAACAACAAAGGTTCCTAATACTAGGGGCTATGTTGCTAGATACTGAATTCCAGCATTAGAACTGAATAAAAATTTGAGTCCTTTCATCCCAGGCATAACCTTTTTGTCCCACGACTGTGGATGGCTACTCAAATGAGAAAGCCAGATGGTATAGGCTAAGATTTAGAAAAAAAAAAGTATTTTTCTTCTGAACCAGAAGCCACCATCCTTATTTCTGGCCTATACAAACTTCCTATATCAAGTTCTTTCCTGTATCAAGAAATACAAAGTGTGTGCTTGCTTGTATATACAAAATAGTTGTCAGTATACTTTTGCTGAAAACATTAGTTGAGAAAAGGCATTTAAAATATTTAAAGGAGAAATCTGAAGGGAAAGGAGGTGATTATAATATAACATACAATTATTCCCAACATCAGAATACAGGATACACTGAAGAAAATGCAAAGCAGAAAGGGGAGCAACACAAAACAAACAGAAGTGTGAAAAGAATCCTAATTGAAGTTATCTAGTTCTCTAAAATTTTGGTATAAGATTATATTTGGGTATTTTGTGTAAGAGGCTATGTTTCAGGTATGTCTTCATAATCTCCATGGTTTCATAAAGTTTTTACATGTACATGCTCCATTGTATGGAAAGCTGGATTTGCACATGGCTCAGAGCCCGGTGATTCACATGGTCTTCAAACACCTTTATGTTACTCAGGAACTTACTGAATGTAGGGCTTAACTCTGAATTCCCAACAAATTCTAGATTCCCAGTCCATTTCTGGGGTGTCAAACCCTGCTGAAAATCTGCTCAGTCAATCTGTGTGCCTCATATATAGTTGAACACTTTCAAGCCTATTTCTAAATAGTCTCATAAGTCTCATTCTATCTGCCCACTTTTGCACAGCTTGCTTTAGGCATTTTTCTTTCTGTGTAGGGAAATTGAAATAGATGGCCTCTCTCTTACCCATGTCGGTCTCTTGCCCTCCACCAGAGCGGATCATACTTTTCGAGGATAATGTATTCTTCTGATTTCTTGAGAGGTAAATCTAAAGGCCCTCTAGCAAAGAAGTCACAGAGTGCAATAACTCTGGGTTTGTTTGTGTAGTCTTCGAAGGCCTCAGGAGGCAGAGGAGGTAATGGCTTGTCCTTAAACTGTAATTGTCTCTTGCGCTGCTGAGAAATCAAAGTATTTTTCATAACTGGTCTTTTCTTTCTACTATAGATTGCTTAGTTATCATTACTCTGTAATTTTTATGCAATGAAGAATTTTATATCCTCAAGAGCTAGTTACTTTTTCTGGTACTGAGCCACTGTATGTCAAATCACCTCAATTCTCTCTTTTCACCTGCCAAAATGTTACTTACCTCACACTTCCAAATAGATTCATAGGAAACGTCTGGTTGTGAAGCAGAGTACTGGGTCGCCAGGACAGCATCAGGGTCCAGGTTCACTTTTGTTCTCATTTCTCTGATTTTGAAAAACATGAAGCACTTGTGTGAATGTGGGTATCTGTAAACATCCACATATCCATGGCTATCCATGCCTTCCTTCATTAGGGATATGCAGAGTACAGTGTCTTTAAACTTCCACATATTTGCTCTTCTATTGCAAATGGAGGGATTTTAAGAAGTCCTGTATGTGTAGATACTTAATTACTGAAAAGCTTAAGCATTTCACATACCTTTCTTGCACTGAGCAGCAGCAGCAGCAGAAAACAGACTGGATAGTGTGATCTGTGAACAAGAACATTTTCCATATTTTCAGTGTTCCTGTTTGTTTGTTCACAAAACTTACAGAATTAAGGACTATCCTAAGTTCTTACACCTGCTGTTAGTTCTGTCTTGCAGTGAGGTATCTAACAAATCATCACAGCTGAATTTGCAGCCACCAAAACCAGCAGATCTTTCCTACCACAGCCTCGTTTACAATGTTTTGGCAATTATGAGGCTATACGTATGAATTAAATCAGCTCACTAATTCAGCAAAAAATAAATAATAAAAAAATATACATTATCAGCCAAATTCATACTGATTTGTCTGATTACCACCCTGCACAAGCTCTACCTAGTGCAATGAGGGGGATGAGAATCTTGTCAGGGACAGGAGGGAGAGAACTATTCCCTTCAGTACTGATATAATTTTTAGATTGTTCAAGCCAAATACAAAACCACACTTGCATGACAAGCTTTTCTTGATTTTGAGGTTTATTAAAAGAGCCACACTACATTAACTTCTTACAATTAATACTGATTTTCCTCTTTCTGTTGCATCCATTGATATAATAAATGCACTAGCCTAGGTTTGAAGTGCAGCAACAGTATGTCCTTTACACATGCAAGTCGAGTTGATAATCCTTGTTTATAAAATTGTTTCTAAAATCCAAAATACATTGGATACATCATCACAGACATCAAAATTATAGAGAAACTAATCTATCTTTTATGTGCAGCACAGAAGATATGATATTAAATATGTTGGAAGGCATTAAGATTTGAATGAGGTAAATAAATGGTTGACACTTGGTCCACACCTACCCAGGCTGAGGTGTTCCCAGAGCAGTTTGAGCTAAGCTGCAGCAGCTATGGTCCTGTACTCTCTCCCTCTCTACCTCATCTCACCTCAAACTAGGCAAGGCAGGATACTAAAAGGGCACATAATCCCCTTCTGCTGGGTCAGTTCCCTGAAGTGTGTCACCCCCATGCATTTGTGTCACCCCCATGCATCACCACTGGGCAGGTAGGAGTGCAGCAGCAGCAGCACCTGCAGGACAGGCTCAGGTTCTCAGGTGCAAGGTACAGTCTTTTAAGAAGCATGAGAGTCAGGGATGGAGAGACAAGGTTCCCCTGATACTCAGCAGCACTAACACAAAATAAACTTTGTATCCCACTATAATGTGTCATATTTTTCTCTGCCACAGAGGTCATAGTTTGCAAAGAAGCCTCAGATTTTTAGTTGAAAAAGACTTCCCAAGGTCTCAGAATTTTGCTGCTTTGTATTTCATATGATACTCCTTTGTACAGTCCCACCAGTTCCTTACCCACATTATTTGTTTGCCCTCATGGCACTTTTGCACTGTTGATCCTAATGACCTAATCCAGGCTGGAATAAATAGGATGTCCCTTCTGGTGTCCTGTGAGACTTTTTGCCATTGCCTATTACCAACTGAAAGCCAAATGTGCTAAGATTATGAATCTTAGCATTCAAACCATTAAGCAACCTTACCACATTATGAAAATGTAATTATTTTCCCTATGAAGATACATAACATAACAAATCTTGTGCTAATAAAAGAAGTGAGAATATTGGATGCCTGAATGATAAGACAAAATCTAGTTCTTAGTTGGAAGATCCCTGCCCCATATGTGGGTTGTTTAGACTGTCTTGAAAGTCATGGTGAAGTTTCCCTTAGACTATTGAATCCTGTGAAGAATCTATTGTGTGGGAAATGGATGAGCCGACAGTAATTAGAAGACACCATCAATTGTTTGATAAGTTTCCAGTGACAGCTGTGAAAAATGCAGCAATTAAAAATACCCAAGCCAGCAGACAGCAACAATCCTCTTCAAAGAAGCCAGATTAAAAAGAGATTGTCAATAAAGTTTATTTGCTGTGTAATTGTCCAGTATACATTGAATTGGCAATTTAATCCTGCCTCATAAATAGTGAACACTGTGGGTGAAAAAATGCTTGGGTTTCTTTTATTTCAGCCAGTGACATGAAGTTTAATCAATGTCTATAAAGTATGTCATTATTTGCAAATAGGAACATGATATTTGAAAACATGTCTGTTTCATCTCATTGAACCATTTAGTCTAATTAAATACATTATTTCTCATCAGTTTATTTGCTCTCCATATAAAAGTTTTTATATTTACAATATAAATATTTACAAGAAATAGAAACAGCACTGCAGACTTTCTCTGTAAAACTAGAATAATCTTCTAATTAGATTTTAAAGATATGGCTGTTAGCATGACAACAAGGGGATTAGACAGATGCTATGGACGTGTATTTCTGTCTTGTTTTCTTTATGAGCCCAGTAATTTGAGTATATTTGTAGTGTAAGGCCAGGAATCCTATTTGCCTTCAGTGAATATCAGACTTGTTTTGTTAATGGATGATTTTTATGTCTGATCCCCTCCTTTTACTGTGCTAAAAGCTATTAGTAATAAATGACTGTATGTGACATTTATAAAAACACTCTAAGCATATATGATATAGAATATTTATCCTCTTGTCCTGTCCATAAAACCACAGAAAAGGTATAGGTTGAAGCTGTAATCGTGATGTTTCTTCCTAGTACATGTGCTTCATTTGGTGAGCAATTTTTCCAAGGGTGGAGTGTGTAACCTAATAAAGATGACAAAATAGGAGATGATAAATTCTGCAGACTGTAAATTAAGGCCGTGGATCAGACAAAACCACACTGAACTGAACAGCAGGATCTGGAGGAGTAACACAAACTTTGCACAGTTCTGCCAAAGTTTAGTTGTCCTCATTCACTCTGTTGGGAGTATTTTAAGTGTGAAATCACAGCCTATCAATCTAGCAGATATCGTCCTAAAGCAGATAATATCCAGTTCTTTGAGAATTAATTTGTCCTTATAAATCTTTTCTCAGCAACTTCAGTCACTTCTGGAATTCTTTTATCCCTGCTTTACTCCTAGAGTATTTGCGGAATTAACTCAGTAGAAATTAGTACAAGTGTAAATTAATGCAGTGTAAACTGTACATTTCTGTTTGGAAATTTGTGCTAGGAAACATTATCAAAGCCCATAGAAAAAGGCCTTCAGCTCTGCAGAGCTAAGGCCTGCTTTCGTTAAATTGACTTAAGGCTGGAAGCTTTGACCTGATGGCTTGGAATTTCAGTTCTCAAGCAAAGACTCATGTACTGATCTATGCATTTTACATCTTCCCTGGTCATTGGTAAGCTTCTTGAACTACACTTTTCCCTCCCAATTAAATTCATATTCATTAAGTTCATAACTTAGTAACTTCCCAAACTGTGATGCCGTTTCAGAAAGACTTGGCCAACACTACAGATGGGGAAAGCTTTGATAACTGAGCGAATAATTTGATTTAACTGGCTCTCCTCGTGGCCAAGGAAGATGCTGACACTGAAGGCTGCACAGCAGTGTGTGCTGACACGCAGCAGGAAGATGGCATTTCCTGCCTGACACATCTCACCCCCACAGGCACTCTCTCATGTCTTGTGCTCTTCCTTCCTTTCTCTTTACTCAACACCCATCAGAAAAACTAAGAAAAAATCAGAATACTTAAACTCCTGTATTTTAGGTTTTTTTAAAGGCTATCATTTAAAATGCAAATTAATTTAAAATATATTCTTAGAATTTACTAATTTAAAATATTTCTTCTTGATTATCCCTTCTGTTAGATCACTGAAAATGGTGGAACTATTCTATGTGATTTCCTTTGATTTTTCACTAAGGACATTTTCCTAAGCAAAACACTGGATTTGTCATGGAGTGTTAGAGTCACATATTAGCTGGCCTTGATCCCCTGGTCCCTAACTCAAGCAACCACACTGAAGAGTTCATAAATTAAAGATTAGTCACTGATGGTATCACTGAGTGTTGTGCTTCAGCAAGGAAAACACATTTTGGATTCCATATTTGGAAGAGAACAGAGAGACCAGTTAGATTTGCCATATTATGAATTAGAGACTGCTTGGACAGGACAAAGGAAAGAATTACAGGCTAAAATGAAGAAATATTCCATAATTTTCAACAGTAAATTGATTTTGAAGTCTGTTAAAATAAAGTACTTATGGAGCTATCTATCATTAATTTTAGATTCCACTTCTCTGTTTCCTACCTAACCAAAAAGCTTCCCATAAATTAAAAAAGTGATCAAATCTTGCTTCTTTTAAATCTATACCAACGAAGATTTCTCCAGCACCCACAGCCCCATTAAATCTTTCAGCTCACATTCCCTCGAGTTCTATCAAAACACAAGCTTCGCAAACACATTGCTTTGATCTTCAGGGTATGTCATGACAGAACAACTAAATTCAGTAGATTAAAATCTAGTTTTAAATTAAACAAGAAAAGTATTTGAGGTGTTGAATCTAGAACTTGCCATCTTCCTTCTTCAATTGTATAAAGAATTTTTCATTTCTTCAATTTTTGATGAAAGCTTGCCACCTGAGACAAAGTTATTTAACACAGGAACAAACAAATATAGTGCATTTCACTGCTGATGTCTTTTTCTTTCTGGAAATGAGTAGTTTAGGAGGAAGACACTTGTTTATAAACTAGCATCACACTATCTCCCTGATGGCCGGCAAGAAAATATGCTTCCCAACACTAGCACAGAGCCATGACAGTGCTGCACATCAGACTTATCAGGATGCTCTGTTTCAAAACAAGAAATAACCATGGCACGAGAAGCATGTAGCTAAAGTAAAAATGCTAGAATACCAGTGTTTAAGCTAATCTGACAAATACTCAGTCTAAAAATGTGCAGCTGGCATCTTGATAACCAAATCTGAGTCCTGGAAATAAATTTATCTGTGCACAACACAGCAGATGGGATGTAAGAGGAAGAAGGAAGAGACGGGTCAGCTGTCAGAAACAGCCATTTGCTTAAGCAGCTTAAGGAGTCCCATCAGAACACAGAAGGTAGAGTGTAAACACATTGTGGCCTGATACAGTCCCACAACACCCAGAGTACACTTTGGGATGATAATGTCATAATGTAGAATGTATATGTGGCAATTTCACACATATATGTGCAATCTGCCTCTCATCCTCAGTTACTCACTGTAAATGGCAGCTTTAGGAAAGCAACATCAAAGACAAAAGCAACAAGTTAGAAATTAATCTTTATCATTTGCATTTTATGATTTTGCTATTTCATTGTTTTCTTTAAGTTTCTTTCTGAACTGATTCTTTCTGAATCAGTTTCCCAAAGCACTACTAACACTGAAGACACTCCAGTCCACGTCTAAGATTTGCACTCTTCTACCATTTTTTGCTAGAAGCTCTTGTTTTTGCAATGGAGCAGAAGATTAACTGTGTTCAACACTACAAACTCAGCTTCACCTATCAAACCCAGACCTTTGCTGTAACACGGTGTGCCTCCTGGTCTGATCTGTCAGTTTTCAACATTACTACAAAAAAAAAAATCAATAACCTGGTAGAAAACCACAGTATAGTTTACTTCTAAAATCACTCTAAAATACAAGCTTTCAGCTTTAGGTGTGTGCAAGCCAAGGCTTCCTGTGTTTTCCGTGAGTTAACTCTACTCCGGAGGAACAACAGGTTTAGTTCTACCAAGCTCTCTATACGTGTTCATGCAGTTCACAACTTTAAGAACAGTATGTCGAAGTATCTTCCTATCTAGATGTAAAATTAGCTGCTTTGCTAAATCCATCGTACAACGGATGAATATTTGCGCATTAATTTTGAAAATCAAGACAAGCAGTCTTAACACAGATCCCCTTAGTGCAAGAGAAAGCAGATACATCTCTTTATGGCAATATTTAAACACTTAATTTGCTAAGTACACTGCTAAGTACACTAAGTTGCACAGAACAAAACTACAAGATCAAAATACGCAGCCAAGTTTACTTACAGGTAGAAAGAATCATGTCTGGTTATCCATTTACATTAAAATGAAAATGCAAACCTCTCTTCATCAGCTGTGCCAGTAAAACAGCCCAAACTGAGCTCTTTGCTGATATGAAGCATGGTAAACCACAAATATTGCTTGATCACGCCTACTTACCTTTTATTTTAAAAAAAGACCCAAGCAGAGTAGAAGGAGAAAAAATGGTCTGCTTTCTAGTATCAAACATTTTATAGAAAAAAAAAAAGTTATTAAACTGTTATCAGTAGGTCTAAATATTTATTTTTAAAAAAAGTAAAAAAGGCACAGCAGATATATATCACACAATGGTTTTGTTCAAATGGATTTTTGACCCCACCATTTGATAGAATTCAGTTATAATAAAAATGGGAGGAAGGGCTAAAGTTGCTTAAGGATAAGTGAGCTCATCCAGAAGAAATGACAGTACAGCATTTCAACCTGCCTTTGAAGACGCCAGGAGTCAGCAACACAGCTGTTCTGATCCTTTCTAAAATTAGCCACCTAAGGCTACATGCAACTAAAAAACTAGAAACTGGGCGCCTCAGAGTTCCTGACATCCTAAATATCAAGCCCAAGTAGGCAGAAATTATCTTCAGGTACTGGGAAGAGGCAGGTGAAAGGATCAGATTCAAAGCACTCACCCACTGAGAAAACTGCTGCCTAATGTTCACACAGTTAGGGTGTCTTTTATTATACAAATTAATGATAAATATTTAATTATTGCAAAGAAATAGGCTTAAGGTTCATTGCGAGCAATTAATTTTCTGAGTTTCCTAAGCTTCATTTGGATTTTAAGGGAAATATTATTTATGACATTATGTGTTGTTGGAAGAGTTAGCAACACCGTACTTTGGAGAATATTAAGAGAATGTGCGGTTCAAAGGAGCAGTTCAGGAAGGAAAGATGTGCTTGGCTTACCTTAAATGTTCAACATAGACGAGTAGAAAAAGTAGTGGGAAAAGCAGAGTAGAAATCCCTAGACTTTCCCTTTTACCAATACTTGCTGTTGGTATTGATTGGAGAGTGGTTTTGGACTCAGCAATTTGACAGGTTGATTTGCATGGTTGGAATAATCTTCTGAGACTTTGCCATGAAGGAAATAAGCATTTGAACCTTTTCTGGTAATCTGTAGCTTTTCAATAGAATAGCATGAGAAAAGGAAAGCACTTCTTCCAAGAAAGAGGAGGCTTCCTCATTTTGAACATAAAGGCAAACATTAAGCAAAGCAGTGTGGGAATATACATATCTTTAAAATTGATTACTGAAATACTCCAATGCCAGAATGATGGAATGTATTAAGCTATGATTACTCTTAATAATTTCATTGGAAATAAAATTCACCATACTTCTCCCTGACTACTTGCAAAAAAATAAAAGAAAAAAAAACCAACCCTTTCGGTGCAATCTATTTGCTATTATACATGGCACAACAGCACAAAAAACAAAAGAAAAAGAAAACCTTTAAGAGAGCTCCTCAGAAGGTGACTACAGTGAAACAGGAGTACAAATAGTCCTCACATGAACTGCTACAAAGTTAGGTTAACTGAAGTAGGCTTCACTAAGATTGTGGAGATGCTAGCCTCCAGCAGAGGGGACAGGTCCAAGGAGAGTTCAGGTAATGCTGAACATTTCATCATGGCCAAATTCATTTAAATATGTATCCATTCTACCACATAAATATATATATTTATATATATATATATATATATATATATATACACATATATACATATATATATGTGTATATATATATAAAGAGAGAGAGGATGTATAAATACACACCAAAGTGTATATATCTATATATTCGTATATATAAATGCACTAACATAAAGCCATATTCATGTGACTAATTAGTTTGACTTATGATGCATTGACATTAAATTACAGGCTACAAATCAGATGTTCCAAATAACAGTTAACATTTAGTTTATTTACACACACATGCAGTATGATATCTTCTGTTATGAACAGAAAGGTTAGATCACAGTATGTACACACAACAGACAGAAATGTGAGCCCTTCTTAAACACACTTGAGAATTTCTTTCATTTACACCCCCCCTGTATAGAATTGTGTGTTTAAGTGAAGGAAAGACAAATTTGTGCTTGAACATTTCAAGACAAAATCCCCCCCACTTTATATAAATAAATGCATTCAATTTATATATTTACAGTACATACAGCATATAAATTATTTTATAATTAATCCAAAACACGGTACAATGGTTCACTGACAGCCAGTTGTGCTGAATCTTGGACTTATTTTTCATTAGTAACATGAAGACTAAGCATGGGAGGTCTCTGGTAAGTCAAGCTTACAATGACTCCAGGCATATCATGGCTCATGAAGCACAGCTTTTAGAGTATTATGCTAAACTGAGCTGGTAACAACCTAGTATGTGCAAATGAAAGAGGTGCATCTTGTCTTCTTGATAAACACTCATCAACCAAGAAAAATAATGTTTCTGGAAAATCTCTGGAAACATTTCAGTGTCAGTAAAAAGCCATTTATAAACACCTTCCATTTTTAAGCATGCAAATCACTACTAATGCTACTGCCCATGTAAAGAGAACCCCAACAACGTGGACTGTATGTACATGAACCCAACCTAATAAATGCAAATGAGGTTCCTGGCCTCTGGCTGCATTTTCTCCCTCCATAAAGAGCTGAACTTTACAGCCATGTTGACTTCTCAGAGAAAATTTAGAGATTACTAATATTGTTGAAGATACTGTGCTCATTTCCCATCGTGGAAAACTCTGCTTGTTCTGGAGTGCATCAGATATTATTGTTTATTTAGCAGCACCCAACAGCTTACACCCAAGCTCTTAAAAAGAAACTATGAAGCCACATATCTCTGGGAAGTGCCTTATTTTCTCTGCTTGTGCTGCTGTTGTCTTTTTTCAAAAAGCATCTTCACCCTCTGCAATGTCAATGATTGCATGAAGCAACTCTTCAAAAGTCGGGCGTTCCTCTGGTTTCTAAAAATAAAACGTATGCACAGCTGTGATCACAAATCAATAAAGTTGTGTTGACTTTGATAAATTGCTGGACATATCATCATTATTTGGTGAGGAATTTAGCACTTCATTAGGTATTAAATGTAAAATAATTTCCTTGTCTGGATTTTGAGATGTGTCATTCAATCTCAGTAGCATCAACTTTTCTTTATTGCTTTGAAAAAGGCATAAATAGTTGTTGCTGGACTACACTCTTTATATAATTCATTACTTTGCACTTTGCATAGTTTTACACCTTTTTTATTTTTCCTCCCCATCCCCACCCTTCCGCAATGAACTGCTCCAATCATTCTTAATGCAAGTTGCTCATGCTCCTAAGAATTTTGGGTGTCAATTTCTGATGTGCCTTTTATATCAACTTATTTTCTGACTCTGAAATGAGCAATGATTTAATTTTGTTACTAAATGCCTTCACATACTTAATCTGACAGTTCATTAATTTCATAGAAATTTCTTCAATGTTTTGTCTTATCAGAGCTCTAGTTCAGTTGCACATGAGTAGCTGAGAGACCTGGATGCACTCAGAACACTGCTCTAGAGAAGATAACTGCTGTTTCTAGATCAACCTTTATTTCAATTCAAAGAAAAAAAAATTTTAAAATATATATATATATATATAAATATATACCTCCTGCCAGCACATCATCATCATTTCATACATCTGCTTACAGGCCAGTTTGGGCCGATACAAGCGATGTCCTTGGCTAACCATTGTTACCACTTCATAGTTGGAGCTTTTTTCAAAAGGCATTTTTCCTTCTGTATATACTTCCCACATTAAAACACCTGGAGAAAAAAAAAAAAAAAAGAAAATAACTAACTTCTTTAACATATGTGTTTATTTTGAGCACTGGACTCAGGCTTTCTGATAGATAAATAGTTTGAGATCCATATTCTAGACACTTTCCACATGTGTCATCGCTGAAAATGTGTTATTCTAGTAGCATGGGTTTTAATAAGTAACAAAACTAAATGTGTCTGTGGAACTTTATCCCTAATAAAACCATGGCAAATGGTTTCTCTGAGTTTCTTCTCAGATGTCTGAATCCTTTCCAATAACCAAAGCTTAACTGCTATAGATAAAATATAAAAAATACACTTTCTTTCCATGATGAGTATCTTACCAAATGACCAGACATCTGACTTGCTGCTGAATCGGCTGTAATTAAAAACTTCTGGGGGACACCACTTCACAGGAAATTTAGCCCCTGAAGAACTTGTGTATTGGTCATCCAGGACATACCTAAAAAAACACAGAAAAAAAAAAATGAAGAAAAAAGAAAAAACCACAAAAAACACCACAAAAAAACACCTCCAAACCAAACCAAACAAACAAAAAAAACCAAAATGAAAAAGAGAGACATTAAATCCTTCTGTCAGCCTCCAAACCTGCAAATTTTCATTTAGCTTTGGATTGCAATATTAGAAGCTCATATTGCCACCTAATGGCCATGGGCATTAGCATCACAAGATAAAAATAGCTTCTCTGGGGCAGTACTACAGCTGCAGCCACGACTTTGTTCATTTTTCATATTATGCCGGAGTCCTTTCTTGTGATTTATTAGCTATATAATACATGTCTAGGCCTTCTGCAAATTAAATATCTCTAATATGAGATAAAATGAAGGAAAAAGAGAAATCTCATGTTCTGCTTTTCACCAGCCAGTCTGAGTTCAGTTGACAGGGGATATAGAAACTCAGCAACACAGAGATGTGGCAGAAGTCAAACTACGGTGCTTTAACACCTTTTTTGGAAGAGCTGCTCCCACCACTGCCTCACCAACACATCACCCACGCAGGTGCTAACAAAGGCAGGAAATTAACCCCCCTCCAGATCTCAGCATATCCCAGCCCTTCAGCTAGCACAACTCTGAACCATCTATCCCAAGAGAATCCCAAACTCACTGAATAGCCTGTTTCTAACATCTATTTAACAAAATACACTTTAACTATTATCTCTGCAGCAGCTCTGCTCTCTGAAACACAAGCTCTGTCTTTTTTAAAATGAATAAGGAAATCAACACAGAGCAAGCAAGCATTAAAGGCACGAGAAAAGAAAAGGCAAAACAAACCCCATCAAAGGCTATTTTACAGAGAGGTCAAAAAAGATCATTTTTGTATGCAATTTTGCTTGGTCTATGCTGCATTTGGGCTAAGTACAAGGCTTAGGTGAATTTTTCCAAATCTCCGTAAATGCCTTTGCACACTCCCACATACCTTGTCATTCCAAAATCTGAGACTTTGACCACTCCTGAGTCACTCACCAAGCAGTTCCTGGCAGCCTGCAATGGGATTGGTTAGAGCTGGATGAAAACTTGAAATCTCTTGCAGACAAGTTACAGCAATCTAATCATGTCTTTGTATCCATTGCTTAGCAGGTTAAGCCATTTACCAAGTTCAGTGGTGTATTCTCATTATATAAAGTACACGTGCATCTCCTCTTGATAGTACCATTTCCACAACCACACTATTGTGTAAAAGATCACCAGGAAAAAAATCATCATCTCAAGGGATTAATGTGTGGTGAAAATGGCAACAATACAGAAAGGAGATAGGCTATTATGTCAGCACAAATTGCTACTATTTATAAACATTTCAGAGAGATTTTAGTCCATTTTCTTGGGAGAGAAAAATCTGTCATGATTTTCTGTACAGAGCAGTTTTAGAGACTTGACTAGACCATAAAGAGTCAACTTCATCCACTCAATTTTCTGCAAGAACAAAACCAGTTGTAAACGAAGAGGCCGTTTCAAAAAGGAATAGGTACATTAAAAATAAAAATTTCAAAGAGGAACGTATTGCCTAATAAGATGTTACCAGGTCTCTGTGGATAAAGCTGTTCCTTTCCAGGTACTCCATTCCCTCACATACATCTTGGCACATAGTAAGCAGAGTGTCTCTACTCAAAACTCCCCGTTTTT